CTGCTAATGCTCATCAGTAAATCAGTAGAAAATGAATAGAAATGACGATTCTGTCTGAGCTAGGTGATTCTGTCACACGCACTAGTGTAAATGTAGCTAACAGATGTGTAAACTGAAGACTATTTGAGCTTTATTAAAACTATTTGCACTGATTTTTTGTTTGTTACATTTTGTTCCTTTGTGCAGTGGCTTTGAGTCTGTATAAACATCAACAAGCTGAAAAATAAAACCAAAAGTTTTTTTTTTAGATAATGTAATCTTGTTCAAATAGATTTCCTAAAATTGGTATCGAAAAAAGTATCGTTCAGGAACCGGTATCGAATTCAAGGTATCGGTATCGATATCGAAAATTTTTGAACGATAGCCAGCCCTAGTTAGGAGTCTCTGTCAGCTTAACTCTTAAATCACCACGACGGGTCCAGTACTTGCTCTTCAGCTAAAAAATTTATAATTTGCGCACTTCCTTTATGAGACTTCGTGAAATAGGGATGATTGTTCTTTTGAACTGGTTTTAGTCAAACTGATTCACAAAACATTTGTGAATCACTTGACTGTATGAACACCTGTTTGGGAGTTATATATATATAACGGATATATAACAAATGAGTTCTTTCTATCAAGTCGAATGATTTGCAAAGCATTTCTGAATCACTCATTAGAACTGCATAAAAGGTGACATTTAAAAAAAAAACATAACTGAAAACATACTTTTTTCTTATAAATTAAACCAAATGTTTAAATTAAATTAACCAAATATTTAATATATAGTTAAATTATGTGTATACATTTTTTATGCATATTATATATAATATTTAAATATGATTAATAACAAATATTTATTATTTTCAAAAATATATATAACAATATTATTAAATAAGCTAAATAAACATTTACTTAAATATATTAAAATTATTTAACACTGCTTCTGATTATGATAGAGTTCTGTCAAATATATTATGAACTATCAAACTAAAAGGTGGGTGACATGCTGAAATCATAAACAATATTTCATATAATCTATTGTACAGAAACTTAAGAAAAACACTATTTACAGTATATAAATTAAACCAAGTAATCTATTATTATTATTATTATTATTATGTAATGAAATAATAATAATAATACATAAAATAGCAATAATATAAAATAATAATATAAAAAATACTTATATTATATAAATAATATAAAAATGTATACCTGTATTATGAACATAAATTTACATAAAATTCAATTATATTATTATTATTATTATTATATGTTATCATAATAATATTATATATCGTAATAAATTCATAAATGGTCACAATAAATTAAAAATAATAAAGTGATAAAAATTATAATATTATTGAAGCAAAATAAACATTTACTTAAATATTTAAAGATGTAATCACTTACAAGTGATTAATTAAGTGATCTTCATTTTGAAATCAATTTGTTTACCAATCAAACGACAGTAAATAATTCAGCAAGTTTAAAAATAGAGTATGTTTTTGTAGACTGACGCCATCTAGACCAGGTCTCTGCCACTGCTCATGTCCCGAAGCACCACAGTCCCTCATTTCTCCTCTTGCTGATTAAGACTGAAGACATAATGTGGGCCGGCTTGGCAGGACCAGATATAAATATGCCTGCACCCTTCATCACTTTTTAATCAAGAGAGTGATTACGCATGGCAGTGTGAGCTTCTCAGAAACTCTCTCTACTTTCCTCCGGCACTGATTTAGACTCAGTGTCTGCTAGTCTGCTGCCAGGCTTTATTTAATGTTGTAAATACTGCCCTCTCAGATAACACTCATCACTCCTGTGACTCTCCTCTAGGACACTGCAGTGATGCTGACCTGCTTTCTCCTCCAGTATCATGTTCATCTGTGTGGATGAAGTCTGTTAAGATTATATATTGAGATCTATTTTGATTTGTTTTAGATCATGGCACGTCCCATAAAAACCTCCCTGCTCAAAGAGCTCCATTGTACTAGGAGAAGGGAAACTGTTATCTGAGACCCATGTTCTTCCACAGTCTTTTTTTTCTGGTTTACAGGTGGTCCAAATGAAGACTAATGAGTTCAGAGTTAATGTGTCTTTCTTGTTTCTCTGCAGGCATGCTAACCATCACAGACTTCATCAACATACTTCACAGATACTACAAATCACCCATGGTATGTAATGCATTCTGTCTTACGTTATTTTTTTCTAGTTTTCAGAAGAAATGCTGAAGTTCAGCATTTTATTCATGTATCTATTTATTCTTTTTTATTTCTTTTTTGTTACATTTTATGTTTTTATTTTATTAAAGTTAAGACTTAACTTTGTATATTGCCTTTCTTAACTTTTTTTTCCAGTTTTCAGACAAAATTCTGAACTTTTAGGCCTAAAACATCTTGATTTCGTGCACCGTTGTGTTAAAAATATTTTTTATTTTATTTTATTTTATTTTTGCTTGGTCACTGATAGCGAATGTAGATGTATACAGTGAAAGTGCTGCGTTTAGCTTTGCCGGGCTGTTTATAGCCATGAGCCTTTCGTGAACCTCACATCATTTATAATAACCTACAGCGCTCTGCAATTACTGTGTTCAGATCACACTGAGCTCAGGAATCAGGATCAAACGTTCCAGAAACACCTCAGCATCTGTTGTCTTTTGTGCCAGTAATTGCTCCTGCAAAGTAATTAAATTGATGTGGATAGTAAATAAATTGCTTGTTTTCTCACATCGGTTATGAATTTATACTGCTGTAATTTAATATTATCATTAATTTTCGATATGGAGTTGCTTCTTACTATATAATTCACAGCCTCAAATTCACTGTACAAACTTCTCTTCCTGCTCATCAGTATTTATAAGCTCATATCCTTGTTTTTGCATTTTGTTCTTAAATACAGATTCATGTGAATTTATGCAAGAGCAAAGAAACCACTAATCACTTTGAGTAAAAGCAACATCCTCTCATCTTTTCACATCCCATCAGTTCTTTTCTGCAGACACAGGAAGTAGTTGAAAATGCTGTAAAGCTTCTTCCTGCGTTTAGAGGAAAGGCACAGCTGTGGCTTAATTATTTATATTCATACAACATACTGACAATAATCTCCACTAGACTAACACAAAAACCTTCAGAAATCATTCTAACATGATGATTTGGTGCTTAAGAATTTTTTGAATTATTATTATTATCAATGTTGAAAACAGTTGTGCTGGTTAATATTTTTGTGGAAAGTTCAAAAGAACAGCATTTGTTTGAAATGGTAATCTTTTGTAATATTATAAATGTATTTTTAGCATCACTTTTGATTATTTAATGCATTCTTTCTGAATAAAAATATTAATTTCTGTAAGAAAAAAGGACTGAACCCTAAACATTTATATCCTTTATGTTTTACTTAAAAAGAAAGTGAGCTGCAAAAATAGGTCATGATTTGGCCTACATTTAGATATCAACACCATTTCTTAACCAGTTCTTACAGAAATCATTTACACCCGGAAGTCTTAAATATACAACATTCTGTGTAAGTGGACTTCATATCTACAAAATCTTTATATAGGATTTATATCTACAATAAAGAATATGTCCCCTTTAAGCTCTGTCACATGCTTGCAAGCGCTCTCTTCCCATCATTCCCCTCCAGAGCCTCCAAGAAATCGTGAGCTTCAGCATTAACCCATTTTCCTGTCCCTTCGGTCTTATCACGCACTGAAAGGTGCAGACGCGCATGCAAGAGCTCGTGTCCACAGTAATCATTAGCTAACATATGGAAGCAGGAGGCTGTGCATCCTCTGATCAGCCGTGCTTTTATGATTAGTCATGTGGGTTTAGACGTTAGCCTGCATCAGCAGTGTAGTGCGGCTCTTTAATTGGTGCCGGTGTGGGAAGCCTGCTGTTTAGATGATGTGAGTCTCACTTTCACTTAGTCAGCGTTACCGTTTCTAAGGGTCGGGACTACAATCCTGCATCACTTTTTACCAGTTCCACAAATCAGTGCCTAAAGCTGTTCTTCGTTTCTGAACACACACCTGTAACTCATCTGTCTGAAATTCTCACTACTCGACAGATGCCTGTGTCACATTGTGTTGCAGGAAATTTTTATTAATTTTTTTAAATAAATAAATGCCTTGGTTTTGGCCAAATGAGGAAAGTTAACGTTCGCTTTGCTCACAATGGTTCAAGAGCTTATAATATTATTAATTATAAAATATAGGGATGCACCAAAATTTTGGCCACTGAAAATTATCAGCTGAAAATGGCATTTTCGGTCTTTGGCCGAAAGAGAAAAATGGCCAGAAATATGCACGGAAAACATATTCTGATTCTGTTGCATAGAACTGAATAAAAATAATATATTGATATTTAATATTAATATATTTTCTGTCCAATTTTATTGTTGTACTTTCAGTAAAAGTGTGGTTAATTTATTAGCTTGTATTAAAAATTGTTAAATTAAAAAGTCTTACAAAATTATTCTATATTATTATATTACTGTATTGTATTATTGTATTGTATTTTGTAGTATTTCATAATAAATTATTATTGAAAAGCATTTTCGGTTTTCGTCCAAGTGCATCCAGCATTTTCGGTTTTGGATTCGGCCCAGAATTTTAATTTCTGTGTATCCCTAATAAATTATTATTATTATTATTATTATTATTATTATTATTATTATTATTATTATTATTATTATTATTATTATTATTATTATTATTATTATTATTATTATTATTATTATTATTATTATTATTATTATTATAACATCCTCTCATCTTTTCACATCCCATCAGTTCTTTTCTGCAGACACAGGAAGTAGTTGAAAATGCTGTAAAGCTTCTTCCTGCGTTTAGAGGAAAGGCACAGCTGTGGCTTAATTATTTATATTCATACAACATACTGACAATAATCTCCACTAGACTAACACAAAAACCTTCAGAAATCATTCTAACATGATGATTTGGTGCTTAAGAATTTTTTGAATTATTATTATTATCAATGTTGAAAACAGTTGTGCTGGTTAATATTTTTGTGGAAAGTTCAAAAGAACAGCATTTGTTTGAAATGGTAATCTTTTGTAATATTATAAATGTATTTTTAGCATCACTTTTGATTATTTAATGCATTCTTTCTGAATAAAAATATTAATTTCTGTAAGAAAAAAGGACTGAACCCTAAACATTTATATCCTTTATGTTTTACTTAAAAAGAAAGTGAGCTGCAAAAATAGGTCATGATTTGGCCTACATTTAGATATCAACACCATTTCTTAACCAGTTCTTACAGAAATCATTTACACCCGGAAGTCTTAAATATACAACATTCTGTGTAAGTGGACTTCATATCTACAAAATCTTTATATAGGATTTATATCTACAATAAAGAATATGTCCCCTTTAAGCTCTGTCACATGCTTGCAAGCGCTCTCTTCCCATCATTCCCCTCCAGAGCCTCCAAGAAATCGTGAGCTTCAGCATTAACCCATTTTCCTGTCCCTTCGGTCTTATCACGCACTGAAAGGTGCAGACGCGCATGCAAGAGCTCGTGTCCACAGTAATCATTAGCTAACATATGGAAGCAGGAGGCTGTGCATCCTCTGATCAGCCGTGCTTTTATGATTAGTCATGTGGGTTTAGACGTTAGCCTGCATCAGCAGTGTAGTGCGGCTCTTTAATTGGTGCCGGTGTGGGAAGCCTGCTGTTTAGATGATGTGCGTCTCACTTTCACTTAGTCAGCGTTACCGTTTCTAAGGGTCGGGACTACAATCCTGCATCACTTTTTACCAGTTCCACAAATCAGTGCCTAAAGCTGTTCTTCGTTTCTGAACACACACCTGTAACTCATCTGTCTGAAATTCTCACTACTCGACAGATGCCTGTGTCACATTGTGTTGCAGGAAATTTTTATTAATTTTTTTAAATAAATAAATGCCTTGGTTTTGGCCAAATGAGGAAAGTTAACGTTCGCTTTGCTCACAATGGTTCAAGAGCTTATAATATTATTAATTATAAAATATAGGGATGCACCAAAATTTTGGCCACTGAAAATTATCAGCTGAAAATGGCATTTTCGGTCTTTGGCCGAAAGAGAAAAATGGCCAGAAATATGCACGGAAAACATATTCTGATTCTGTTGCATAGAACTGAATAAAAATAATATATTGATATTTAATATTAATATATTTTCTGTCCAATTTTATTGTTGTACTTTCAGTAAAAGTGTGGTTAATTTATTAGCTTGTATTAAAAATTGTTAAATTAAAAAGTCTTACAAAATTATTCTATATTATTATATTACTGTATTGTATTATTGTATTGTATTTTGTAGTATTTCATAATAAATTATTATTGAAAAGCATTTTCGGTTTTCGTCCAAGTGCATCCAGCATTTTCGGTTTTGGATTCGGCCCAGAATTTTAATTTCTGTGTATCCCTAATAAATTATTATTATTATTATTATTATTATTATTATTATTATAAACATTTAAACTTGTTATTATAAACCTAAATGTCTAATTATAATGCTAACAACAACAACAATGATAATAATAATATATTATTATTATTATTATTATTAGTTACTATAAATAAATATGGATTTTCAATAAGTTACACATTGCTTTTAAGTTACATCAAGATTGTTAGATGTATTTTTATATAATAATAATAATAATAAAAGTCATATTATTATAATATTTTTTATTAGCATGATGATAATTATTGTTATTATTATAAGTATGGTTTGTTAATGTTACATAGTGCTATTTTATGTTACATAATTTAGATTTTATTTTTTTTTGAATAAAATAATATAATTGATTACAATAACTTTATTGTAATAAAATTATACTAATATTATATATAATATAATTATACTTATATTTAAATGTAATTCTACTACTACTAACTGCTACTATTACTACTACTGTACTACTACTACTACTACTAATAATAATTATTATTATTATTATTATTACTGTATACTGTGAGAATTTCATTAACATGTGAATATGTTTGCAATTTGAGTAACAATCTATTGTTTTGTTTCAGGTACAAATCTATGAGCTTGAGGAGCATAAAATTGAGACGTGGAGAGGTAAGAAATCCTCACAGGTGGTTCTTTCTAGTGCTTCGTGTTTTGTGCTTTTCTAGATGTTATATTTCATGTTTCCTTTTTTTCTTTTTTTTTACAACAGAGCTCTATCTACAAGAAACATTTAAGCCTTTAGTGAACATATCTCCAGATGCAAGGTAAGAGCAATTCATTTCTGTGTTAGCATACATGTCATTTATTGCCTTACTATGGGAAGTTGCATGCTGTAGGGTGATCTTATACATATGTTGAAGAGGACATGAGTGTAGTGAACCACTAGAGTTCTTTTAGTAAACCACAAACTCTTTCCCTCTGACATATTGCCCTTTTCTGTGTGTATTCTGCTGTTTGCTCATATTTTCAGTGTATTAAATAATTCAGTGCACGTAGTCTTGAAGGGCAAACCTCTGAATTTCATCAGGGTCCTCTGAAGTCTCCCTTCTGTTCCCTATGTCACCGCAGTGAAATTGAATTTCTCTGTCTCTGTATGTTTTGTGTTTCAGCATATTTGATGCTGTGTATTCACTGATCAAAAACAAGATCCACCGGTTACCCGTCATCGACCCTGTCAGTGGAAATGCACTTTACATTTTGACGCACAAAAGGATCCTGAAATTCCTTCAGCTGTTTGTAAGTTCATCAGTATGTTCTGTGTGTATCACTTGTGCATTTAGTAAGATTTTAGCTGGCTGGTTTTGGCAGGGTTTGAGGTTTAACTGATGCTGTAATGAAGCGCACAGTCATTTCCTCCAGAGTGACAAAGAATGAGGAAGGAATTGAATGAATAGGATGAAAAAGTGCAGAGGAAGGGAGGGGTAGAGCAGATGAAGAGGAAGAGACAGTCCCTAGATTAATGTAATCTATCTGATCACAATTCCATGGTCTTTTATATACTTCAGCAATGTAAACAGCTTCCAGCTCGCACAAAGTATTTGAAAGACAGAGGTTAGTTAAAGTCTCAGCAGTATAACTTGCATAGAACTGCACTGCAGGGGAAAATAAAATGTACTTTGTATACTAAAAAGTCTCAGAAAGTGTTTTTTGTTTGACAAACAGGGCAGACAGCCAATATAATTCCTATAATTGCTAGAATTATTCATGTTCTTATGTTGCTTGAATTATAAAATATTCAAAAGCTGACAAAGTATGTGTCTCAGGTGTGTGAGATGCCAAAGCCCGCCTTTATGAAGCAGAAACTGGAGGAGCTGAGCATTGGGACCTACAGCAACATTGCCTTCATCCACCCCGACACGCCAATCATCAAAGCACTCAGCATCTTTGTGGAGAGGAGAGTGTCAGCACTGCCTGTGGTGGATGAGTCAGGTTTGATTCAAAAGAAAAGAGACCGATTTTGTGTATTCCAATACTCTTACACTCATGAAATTACTTATTTAAAACTTTTACCTGTGTATTTTTGCCTTTTAGGAAAAGTTGTAGATATTTATTCCAAATTTGATGTCATTGTAAGTACAGTATATGTATTTATTTTATTGTTGAATGTGAAAAACATTTGACCTGTACTACAGACGTTAATTATCTTTCTGTGTTTGTAGAATCTTGCTGCTGAAAAGATGTACAACAACCTGGACATTAGCGTGACACAGGCACTGATGCACAGGTCACAGTACTTTGAAGGGGTCATGAAGTGCAACAGATTTGAGACACTGGAAACGATAGTAGATCGGATAGTCAAGGCTGAGGTGAGCTTTCCCGTTGTCTTCCTTTCTGTCCTCATAAATCTGCAACCTTTTTTATTATGACCAAAAATGGATATGTACTTGCTTTTCTTTAGATGCTTTAGGTCACTATGAGGAAATATGCTAGACTAGCTCTTTGTAGTATGTATTCTGCAACTGCTCTTGCTCTTTATAGAGGAACATTTTTGAGTTGTTCTTGTTAATTTGTTCTAGAACAGCTCTTTGTAATAGCTATTATACATCTTATACAGTTACTCTAGCTCTTTATAGAGGAAGTATTGTAAAGTTACTCTTGGTGATATATTCTAGAGCAGATCTTGCTTATAGATAGGCAGGTCTTCATAGTCTTTTTTTAGATATATTCTATCGTTTCTCTAGTTCAGTACAGATGAGATATGCTGGAGCTGTAATAGATATTGTGCAAATTTTCTTGCTCTTTATAGAGGAAAAATGTTTGTGTTGCTCTTAGTAATTTATTCTAGAGCATCTATTGGATATATATTTACTCTGGTAACATTTAGCAGGTGCTTAACCTCTTTATAGAAAAAAAATTAGAGTCACTCTTAGTAATAGATATTCTAGAGCAGCGCTTGGCGCCGACGCTGATGGCTGCCTCCGTGGCGTGCTCTGCAGTTGTTTTTATGTTTTTGTTAGTTTGTCCTGTCTTTAGTTATATCCCTGCAATCAGTTTCACCAGAGACGAATTGCTGGACATTCGGAAGTACACACCACCCGATATTTCACCGGTTTTCGACTATTCGGATGTTTTGCTGGACATTGTTGTCGGGGGAGCAGCTGCGCTGATCAAGCGCTTCAGGACGCGCAGATGGGGGAAGCGAGCCGGCGCGCTCGTGAAGCTCAGACAGCGCGGATTCAGAACGCCGTTGCCTAGCATCCATCTGGCGAACCTCCGCTCTTTACCCAACAAAACGGACGAACTTCTTCTGCTCTCCCAGACAAATAAAGATTTTTCAAACTCTGCTGCTCTGTGTTTCACGGAAACCTGGCTGAAAGACGCCATACCGGACAGCGCGTTGAGTCTCCCGGGCATTCAGCTGTTCAGAGCAGATCGCGAAGCAGAATCAACAGGGAAATCACGTGGTGTGAAAAAGGCCCAGCAGAGGTTGTACTTCCTTCGCCAGCTGAGGAAGTTCAACCTGCCACAGGAGCTGCTGAAACAGTTCTACTCCGCCATTATTGAATCTGTCCTCTGCACTTCAATAACTGTCTGGTTCAGCTCAGCTACCAAATCTGACCTCAGAAGATTTCAGAGGGTAGTCCGGACTGCTGAGCGAATCATTGGTACAACCCTCCCTTCTCTCCAAGAACTGTACTCGTCCAGAGTGAGCAAAAGGGCTGGCAGAATCCCTCTGGACCCCTCACATCCAGCACACTCCCTCTTTGAACTGTTGCCATCTGGTCGACGCTACAGAGCTCTGAGCACCAGAACGACCAGACACAGGAACAGTTTTTTCCCTCAGGCCATCCATCTCATGAACACTTAACAATAACTGTGGAACACACACTATTTATTCACTCATACACTTATTTATCTAACACTCATACTCAGTCTACATTTCAATTTGCACATAATATACCTGTACATACAACTGTCTATTAATATATACCTGTACATACAATTGTCGATTTGTATATTTTTATTCCTTAGTTACTTGTTCTATTTTTCTATTTTTTATTATCTGTGTTTTTGTTCTGTCACTGTCATTCTGTTACACTGTGGAGCTTCTGTCATGAAAACAAATTCCTCGTATGTGTAAACATACCTGGCAATAAAAACTCATTCTGATTCATTCTGGTAAGGTATTTTATACAGTGCTTTAAAACAGTCAAAAGTTGCTCTTGTTTTTTGTGCAGGAAATATTTTAGAATGGCTCTTGGTAATATATTCTAGAGCAGATCTTGCTAATAGTAATTATGCAGCTGCTCTTTTTTTAGCAGTTGCTCTTGTTCTTTATAGTGGTGATGTTCTAGCCTTGCTCCTTTTATATACACTTTTTATATGCTCTTATTTAGATATACTATAGATGCTCTAGATATATATATCTAAGATCTAAATAGATATTCTATATAGATATTCAACAACTGCTTTTTGTCTTTATAGAGGAAATTGTTCAAGTTACTCTTGGTAATGTATTCTAGAGATAGAAGAGATATTCTAGATAATCTGAGTAATAGATGCTCTAGAGCTGCTCTTTGGTAATATTCTTGCGTCACACTTGGTTCCATATATTCTATAGCTGTTCTAATTCACTATAGAAAATATATTCTATAGTGATATAGATGGGTTATTCTAGATCAACTGGGTAACAGATGCTCTAGAGCTGCCCTTAGCCTTTATTGTGATCATGTCTAATTCACTATAGAAAATATATTCTATAGTGATATAGATGGGTTATTCTAGATCAACTGGGTAACAGATGCTCTAGAGCTGCCCTTAGCCTTTATTGTGATCATGTCTAATTCACTATAGAGGAGATATGCTTGAGTTGGTCTTGGTCTTTGCTTTTGTTTCTGTTACTCTAGATGGTATATTCTACATCAGCTGGGTAATAGATGCTCCAGAGCTGCTGTTAGTTGTTACAGAGGTGTTATTCTTGTCACTCTTGTTTCTAGATATTATAGACCTGCCCTAGTTCGCTATAGGTGTGATATTCTAGATCAACTGGGTAACAGATGCTCTAGAGCTGCTCTTAGTCTTTATAGAGGTGTTATTTTTGTCACTCTTGTTTCTAGATATTATAGAGGTGCTCTAGTTCACTGTAGATGGGTTATTCTAGATCAACTGGGTAACAGATGCTCTAGAGCTACTCTTTGGTAATATTCTTGCGTCACACTTGGTTCCATATATTCTATAGCTGTTTTACCCAATTGAATAACCCATCTATATCACTATAGAATATATTTTCTATAGTGAATATATTCTATAGTGATATAGATGGGTTATTCTAGATCAACTAAGTAACAGATGCTCTAGAGCTGCCCTTAGCCTTTATTGTGATCATGTTTTAGTGTGGCTCTTGTTTGTAGATATTCAAGAGCTTCTCTAATTCAATATAGAGGAGATATGCTTGAGTTGTTCTTGGTCTTTGCTTTTGTTTTTGTTACTCTAGATGGTATATTCTAGATCAACTGGGTAATAGATGCTCCAGAGCTGCTGTTAGTTGTTACAGAGGTATTATTCTTGTCACTCTTGTTTCTAGATATTATAGACCTGCTCTAGTTCGCTATAGATGTGATATTCTAGATCAACTGGGTAACAGATGCTCTAGAGCTGCTCTTAGTCTTTATAGAGGTGTTATTTTTGTCACTCTTGTTTCTAGATATTATAGAGGTGCTCTAGTTCACTGTAGATGGGTTATTCTAGATCAACTGGGTAACAGATGCTCTAGAGCTACTCTTAGACTCTATTGAGATCATATTTTAGTTTAGTAGACTCTTGTTTGTAGATATTTAAGAGCTTCTATAATTCACTATAGAGGAGATATGCTAGAGTGGCTCTTTAACTTTGCTTTAGGTTCTCAATATTTTAGAGCTACTCTAGGTCACAAAAGTGGAGATACTCTAGGACTGCTCTAGATGCTGATGTGTATCTGTCCTCGGTCAGGTGCACAGACTGGTGGTGGTGGATGAGAAAGGCAGCATCGTGGGCATCGTCTCTCTGTCGGACATCCTCCAGGCACTTGTTCTCAACCCCGCAGGTATCAATGCTCAGCATTCCTAAAGCACATTTACAGCAGGACCCTCCTCCTCCCATCCTCTCTCGCCCAAGCCACAGGTACTACCTCCACTGCTGAGGTCAAGGAGACGGTGCATGACTTCTGCCTGGCTCATGATGTGTGTGAGGATGGCATGTGCCAACTTATACTTTCTGTTTCCACCACAGAACCAGACATGATTGGCTTTGATTCCAGAGGGCAGTGTGTGTGTGTGTGTATATGTGTGCACGCCCACATTTCACCGCATATGATTTTAATTAATGAGGCACTTGCAGTACATCAGAGCCCCTCCCACTGCAGGGCTTCCTGTCTGCTGATGGATAGTGTCCTGCAGTAACTCAACCACACGCTCTGTCCATGCATACACATAATGTCGTAGGTCTTCCCACTAAGATCATTATACATTTCTGCTCATAAATTAACATACCCTTGCAAAATATGGAAAATGTTAATTGTTTTAACAAAATAAGAGGATCATATATTTTTTTATTTAATACTGTCCTGAATGAGCTGTTTTGCATAACAAATGTTTACATATGGACATAAGACAAAATAATAATCTAATGTACTGTACTTAATAGTAATTTAATGTCATTACCTGGATGATCAACAACTGTTTTTGTTTTTTGATAGTTGTTCATGAGTTCTTGTTCTGAGCAGTTAAACTGCTAATTTTTCTTCAGAAAAATCCTTCAGGTCCTGCACATTCTTTGGTTTTCTAGCATCTTCTGCATATTTGAACCCTTTCCAACAGTGACTGTATGATTTTGAAATCCATCTTCACACACTTATACAACATATAACTATTACAAAAGGTGAAAACATTCACTAATGCTTAAAAAGGAATCACGATGCATTAAGAGCAGAGTGTGTTACAGGGAGTAATTTTTTTCATTTAATATTGCCTTTTGCAGATTTTCAGGTTTTGTTACAATTTTGAACTTTTTGCAAAGGGAATGTAAACTTATAAACAGAACTGCATAACCAATAAATATGATGTGCATCTACGACAGACATCTAAATCAAAATCAGATGTAATACACGTCTCTCTATTTAACTCAAACTTTCTGGATTTCCTTCTGAGAGGTCACTGTGTGCTGGGTGTCTGCCTTGTTGGCTGTGAATTTATAATACTGCATATGAATTGCTTCTGTGAAGAGTGTTATGAATCCTAAGTAGCAGATGTGATGCTGCTAATATTGCAGATAGTATGCGCAGATCAAAAGACATTCTGCCCTGTGGTTGGTCCTGCTCCTTGAGATGGACCTTCCTGCAACTTATATAAAACACTCTAAACCAGATGATTTTGACGGAGCACTGCAGTGTTGATGTATTTTTGTAGGCCAACCCAAGAATTAGCATCACCCTGGATCCCTTGACAAAATCCCAACAGGATTTTTTCCATTGATTTTTGGATTATTGCAGAAAATAAGCTCCCCGACCAATAAAAAAAAGTGATTAGTATGTTTTGTTTATCTTCACAAGTGAACACAACTTTAATGAATTTTAAATCAAAAATGTCACCACCATGAAGCTTCTATCAACTCTTTCAGTTTTTATTAAAAAAAACAAAAAAACGTTTTCCCTGAATGTGTGAGTTAGAATAGTTTGCAAGCGTACGATTAAAAACACTACAAAGCTGTAAAAGGGCACTAGTTTAGTTAAATGCTCATTTCTGGGTTTTGGCCTATAAAAATACTTCATCCTTATTACTAGCAGGTGGATTACAGGCTGTCTAGAACTAAATTCGGCAGGAATCCAGATCTCTAAAAGCAGCCTTCGTTGAAAATACATGCTCACAAGCTGCCTACTAGTGGTTGTAAGCAGTATTGCAACTAAAAAAGACCTCTCTTTTACATAGTCTACTCCAGGGATCCTCAAATCTGGCCCACGAGATCCACTTTCCTGCAGAGTTTAGCTCTAACCCTAATCAAACACACCTGAGCATACTAATCAGTGTCTTCAGGATCATTAGAAAATCACAGGTAGGTGAATTTGATCAGGGTTGGAGCTAAACTCTGCAGCGCATTGGCCCTCCAGGGCAAGATTTGAGGAACCCTGGTCTACTCTTTTGCAGGTATGACCCGGAAGGAGAGCGAAGCAGAGATGGAGTGATGCTTGCGGAGATTGCTGGGTCATGTGATGTTGCTGTAAGAGACTGAAGTGGAAGCGGAGACCACAAGTTTGGGCCACATCTCAGAATGAAAGAGTGGAACCAGGGAACTTGACCTAGATGTGCGCTGTTAGATCACAAATGAAGAGTTACACGGACTGGTTATTTGGTCTGTTATCTGATGTCTAGATGGACGTATTGGCCGTATGGGGCGATTAAGGTGGATCATCTCTTATTCAGAAGGATACTGTGAACTCTACCTATTATATCACACTAAGGTTCTGCACGCACACTATGATAACTATACCTTTAGCTAGAACTAACACTATGCCATCTGGTGTTTGAATAGTGGTCTGCACACAGACTACGAACTGTACCATAATCGCCTCTGTTGGAGGGGGGTGTCTGTGCGTTCGCAGGGCATTCAGTAATAATCTCAGTATTCAGTGCATGTTATGACTGTTTGTTCCTCGTGTATATACGATTTTCGGCTTGTGGCGTATGAGCCAGTTCACATATTTGTACTTTTGACTACTCCTGAATTTAGAAACTCGTTTAGTCTTTCTGCGCCACAGTTCCTTTGTAAACGCAGACAGAAATGCTTTCCTCTGTGTGTCTATGGTGCCTTCTGTCCAGCAGTTATCGCCCACTACTGGTTGCCAATAGAACAAGATTAATTGAATGTTTAAATATATCAAAGTGAATGTTACAGTTGTTTAAAAAACCAAAAGCCCCGTTTTGCTGTTTTAGTGTGCATCACTGGTTTTATTTATTGCAGAGCTCGACATTTCTTCACTTTGGGTGTTCATTATTTTCTTGGTGGTTTTGAAATTATGCTGTAAATGATCATTAAAATGTTTATTTATTTATATTGAACACTTTTGTCATTTTAAAAGCGATATTTAAGTGTGAGATGGAAAGATCTATGGAGCCCCTATGCAGTAAAACCACGTGCTGATCAATGACTTGATGTTCAATGCAATTCCACCTTAAAATCCCACTTTATTTTTCCTGTCCATGAGGCGACTGGCCTCTTGTTTGTATCAATTGTACTGTACATGCACGCAGAGCTTCTGTCTGAGGAATCTACAAGTGCAAGAGAAAGGTCTATTTTTCTGTGTGTTCGATGTTTGTAATACTTCACATTTTAAGTTTTCGTCATTTGTTTTTGCAGATATGTTACTGTTGTTATGAAAGAGTAATGTCCAGAGATAAATTCACATCCCTGGCATGAGAATGCTAAAGGATAATCATGCTTTAGATTCGTTTTTTATTTACAGTTAAATAAAAAAGAATAAACAATCTCTGAAACACTTTTGTGTTGTTTGGCAAGCCATTTTTACAATATAAAACACACACACATATATATATATATATATATACAGTGGGGCAAATAAGTATTTGATACACTGACGATTTTTCAAGTTTTCCCACTTACACAGAATGGAGGAATGGAGAATTTTCATCGTAGGTACACCTCAACTGTGAGAGACCGAATCAAAAAAAAAAATCCAGAAAATAACATTGTATGATTTTTTAATAATTAATTTCCATTTTATTGCATGAAATAAGTATTTGATACAATAGAAAAATAGAACTTAATATTTGGTACAGAAACCTTTGTTTACAATTACAGAACTTGAAAAATCAGCAGTGTATCAAATACTTATTTGCCCCACTGTATATGCAGTGTTGGGGGTAACGCAATCGCAATCAGATTACTTTTTCAAGTAACTAGTAAAGTAATGCATTACTTTTTAATTTACAAGAGAATATCTGAGTTACTTTTTCAAATAAGTATTGATTGACAGCTCTGGTGTTGCCATGGTGACATAAATCAGATGTTATTGTAGTTCTAAAATAAATATGAATATGCATTAATTCATCTCACTCACACACAAAAAAGAAACACAAGAAAAAATCCAGAAAATAACATTGTATGATTTTTTAATAATTAATTTCAGCTTTATTGCATGAAATAAGTATTTGATGTATTGATTGACAGCTCTGGTGTTGCCATGGTGACATAAATCAGATGTTATTGTAGTTCTAAAATAAATATGAATATGCATTAATTCATCTCACTCACACACAAAAAAGAAACACAGATTCAGTATTCCTCAAAATAAATAAAAACAACGCAACTCAGAATATGAAGCAAACCTGCAATAATTAAATGTTATACAACACAAATATCCTTTATGTGTTTAAACCCATTCTGTTAACCAAAGTCTTTGCTTCTGACCTTCGATGATCCAGTTCAAGCGTACTAATAAGCACAAATTACTCTAGACGAACATTTGTGTCTTTTTTTATTGCTGAAGTGTGTTGAACTTTCTTCTGCATTCTACTGTACGGACGTGAATGTACTTTCCCTTCAGCCTGAGGCTTATTCAGTTCACTTCTGGTGTGAAAAGGCTTTTATATTTGCCAAAAATAGAACTTTTTTATTTTAAAATCAAACAAGCAAGCCCTGTCCAGATTTAAAAAGTAACGCAAAAGTAACGTAACGCATTACTTTCCACAAAAAGTAACTAAGTACCGTAATTAGTTACTTTTTTTATGGAGTAACGCAAGATTGTAATGCATTACTTTTAAAAGTAACTTTCCCCAACACTATATATGTGCTGTAATCGCATCCACAATAAAAGTTTTTGTTTACATAATATATGTGTGTGCTGTGTATATTTATTATGTATATATAAATACAAACATACAGTATTTTGTAAATATTTACATGTATATTAAATGCATTTACATTTATATATTTATATTATATTTAATATATAAACATAATATTTTTCTTAAATATTTACATGCATGTGTGTGTATTTATATATATATATATATATATTCATAATAAATATACACAGTACACGCATATTATGCGAACAAAAACTTTTATTTTGGATGCGATTAATCGCGTTTAATTGTTTGACAGCACTTGCAGGTTGCAATTTCAATCAATAAGTTACCAGGCTTCTTCCGTGACTTCAGGGACGCAGGAAATAGTCCGAAAATCAAATTTTATTAAATGGAACTGTTTATTGAACTTATACACATTTGAACTACTTTGCATCATATTAGATACTTAAGGCTTTTATGGTTTATATTTTATGATAGGCCTAAAGTGAAAATATAGGCTACAGCTCAAAATCGTGGCGGAAAACGACACATCAGTTTCATACAGAGGTCAGAGGGCCATGCAATTTGGTGCTGTTGCGGTTATTTTGATGGCCAAAGGTAAGATGCAATTCTGAAACCATGTAGCTACTGTAAATAAATGATCTAAAAAAATTATCAACTATCAATCAGATAGCAGGAGAGTGTAGTTTTAGCAAAGTTTTGATTATGAGGCCACAATTCACGTATCAATTGCATGGCTTTATAGAGTTACATTACAATTCTTTCCTTACCCTGTTAGTAACGCAACATAGTAGTAGCCTAAAGAGAATTCAAAAGAATAGCCTATGTGGAGATGACCAAAACCTGCCTGACAAAATCAAGTGCCACATTCCTAGATGTGAGTAGAAACACCATTCACACATTGTCGATGAAATACAAGTCTGTCTCCAAGAAAAACTTGAGTCAGTCATAACCAAGCTGTAGTTTAATCTTAAATTGGTGCGCGCACTCTGGCGAGCTGGTTCCTGCCTCGCGCTCATTGGTTCATCTGTCTGATAGCGACAGACACCTGACTCACAATCCACCCGCTACTGACTGATCCATGAAAGCAGAAAGACAGAGCACGTAGGCAACTTCTTGTCGACAAGCTCGGACCTTCATATCTCAAGGTAAATTCATATGGATGTGGTGTTGTTGAGTACTAAATAAATAGTTGGTATTTATTAAATAGAAATACTCAGTGATGCTATTTTGCAAACGCTCTATTCCAGATGTGCGTGTGAGATTAATTTAACACTTCAAGTTTAGAAAAGTTCCTCTCGAGTGAGGGCATGCTAATTATTTCCTTAACTGGAACTACGCATTTATATTAAAATGTTTTTTTTAATATATATATATATATAGCTTGCTAAATGTTACAAATGTTTTAAAAACGCTTTTGAATATTTTTGTATATATAACCCAGCATTTTTTAGAGTGCAGGGATCTTGCACCACATTTAAATGTCAATCATCTAATGTTAATGGTTTGTTTCCTGATTGGAACTTACAGTCACGATTCAATAAGAAAAGTTAACGCTAGCTATGACAAAACTAATTTCTTTTATGTACTGTATGTTGAGAGATGAAACATACTGTAAAAGTCATTATGTGATATGCTAATCAACACACTAATGCTAATCAACACTAGACTTGCTAGCATTAGTTATGTCACTAGATTGACTCTTGATCATGTAGATTTTATTTCAGCTTTGCACTTAATTTTGATAGTGTTCTGCTGAAATGAGCCATATAATGATCCCTTATAATGGAGTTGACCTTTTCACTGTAGTCATAATGATGATTTATTGTCGCATGTGGAAACTGTTTATGCTTGCTAGTAGTCAGATATCACAGATATTACACTTTGATGAATAAAAATCTCTTTACCCAGCCAGCAAGTTGTTGTAATAATGAAATTATACAAACGATGCAGTTTGGAATTATATTTCTGTTGTAATAGAAATATATACTGATGTTTTGCATTTACTTGAAGAGAAACCTACCTGTTAGATAGTCTATATATATATATATGAATTTTATTTATTTTTTTTACAATATTTTGAATTGAAAATATTTTATACATAGACGAATAGCCTAATTACTAAATGTTAGGCTATTATATTAATATCTCAGAGTGTTTGCATGAGCTATGTATCTTTTCAACAATATCTGTCGTTTGCAAATATTGAAAGAATGCGCGCGTGGTGACTTTATATTTAGATTCGTATTGTTTCACTTTGCTCGATATTGATGTCACGCCCCCCGTGAAGTAATTTGGCTGCAGAATATTCCACAACACTACGTGACAGAAAGCACACAGTCCATTTCTCCATTTTAGTTCAATATCTGCGCGTTTATATTTAAAACAAGCATATGTGGCAGGTGCAGGAGGATGCATTTTCATCTTTTAAATGCATTTCCACAATTATAAGCATATCGCTGCCCCTTTAATCATGAGCAACGACATTTCACGTTTTCAATTTGCATGTATTAATCTTGCAAGAGGTCTTGCAAAAGCTACATTCAAGGTCATTGGCGGTGTGTCCTGTGACCTGGATACTTTCACTGCATATCTGGGCATATATATATATATATATGCATCCTTGAATAAATGTAACTTCTTAATAGGCCTATATTAAGAAATGTTTCTTGAGTAGCAGATCAGCCTATTAGAATGAATCAGACTGATTTCTGAAGGATCATGTGACACGGAAAGCTGTTGAAAATGCAGTTTCGCATCAGGAATGAATTACATTTTAAAATATATTAGAACTGTTATTTTAAATTGTAATAATATTTCACAATATTACTGTATTTAATGAATTTTAATAAAAAAATTAGACCTTCAAAAACAAAACTTTTTTTATTTGCACTATTTTTTAGTGCAACCTCTATAAAAGTACAATTTCTTGCATGCAAATGAATGTAAAAGAAGATATTTTGAAGAATAGTTCCCATTGTTTCAGTTCCCATTGACTTCCATTGATGAAATGGTATGGACAAAAATACACTGAGAGCCAAAGGGACCCATACCTGTTTGATTATCAACATTCTTCTAACTTTCACAGAAGAAAGAAATGCATACATGTTTGGATTGACATGAGGGAGTAAATGATGACAAACATTTCACTTTCTTCTGCTGAGCATAAAAGAAGGTTTTTGAAGAATGTGGGTAACCAAACAGTTGATGGTAGCCATTGACTCCCATAGGAGAAAAATACTATTTTAGTTCTAGTTCATAGAAAAATACTATGGAAGTCAATGGCTACCATCAACTATTTGGTTCCAAACATTCTTCAAACAAACAAACCATCAGAAGATAGAAACTCATACAAGTTTGGAACAACTTGAGGGGGAGTAAATGATGACAGAATTAAATCTTCATTCTAATCTAGTATATAATTCAATGAGACAATTAGGTCATATTTGGTATAATCTGTGCACCATTGTAGCACCAATATTTTTTGTAAGGGACTTGGTGAAAACTATGGTGAAAACTGGCAACTTGGTCAAAGTGCAGAAAGTCACCTCCTTAGGTTTTGAGACCCGTTATTGTCATGCCAATCCCTGTGTGACTTACCTGAAAGCTCAATGAGTTGTCCATGAGTCCGGCCAATACATGTTGGCATTGTTTTTAGATGCTGGCCTCTCGAGCACTGGTGCGGGGACTGCAGTCTGGATTCTGGAGGAGGGTGTCAACTTCATCTGCTGCCTGGGCTGCACACACTCACGGTGACAGCACACTCTCAAGGGCAATAGAGACCACTCAGCCGTCATTCACATCTATCTATCTATCTATCTGTCTGTCTGTCTGTCTGTCTGTCTGTCTGTCTGTCTGTCTGTCTGTCTGTCTGTCGGTCGGTCGGTCGGTCGGTCGGTCAGTCGGTCGGTCGATCTGACTGTGTCTCTGTGTCTGTCGGTCGGTCTGTCTGTCTGTCGGTCGGTCGGTCGGTCGGTCGGTCTGTCTGTCTGTCGTCTGTCAGTCTGTCTGTCTGTCTCTATCTCTCTGTCTGTCTGTCTGTCTGTGTCTGTCTGTCTATCTCTGTCTATCTATCTATCTGTCTGTCTGTGTGTGTCTGTCTGTGTCTGTCTGTCTGTCTGTCGGTCGGTCTGTCGGTCTGTCGGTCTGTCTGTCTGTCTGTCTGTCTGTCTGTCTGTGTCTGTCTGTCTGTCTGTCTGTCTGTCTGTCTGTCTGTCTGTCTGTCTGTCTGTCTGTCTGTCTGTCTATCTATCGATCTATCTATCATCTATTTGGACAGATACTTTCAAACTCTTGACTGTTGTTGTTCTTGTGCATTTGTCCTCAGATGTTGATGTGGCTGACTGCTCCGTTCCTCAGTACAACAACCGTCTGGACACGCCATTGCCAGATGTTCCATTTGTCAGAAATCTCAGTGCCGAACAGAAGAAACTCAAAGAGAAAGAGAAGGGATCATGGACCCAACTCACCAAGGAGGAGAAACTGGCCTGTAAATCTGAATAACTTAGGCTAACTTTGAGCTTTTTTAATCTACTGCTTAATAAGCAAATAAATCACTCATAAAATCTCCTGTTGTTATAAGAACAGGTTAGACTTTGACCCTGGGTGTGGAGGAAACTGTTACTCACTCATGGGGCTCCTGAATAACCAGATTTGTCTTTACAGTAGCTGTAGGTATAAACATGCTCATATGTAATAGGTACTGTAAGGAAAATATGATATACAGAACCATTAAGAAGTCTGGGGTTAATAAGATTTTTTTAACAAAGAAATTAATTATTTTTTTCTACAAAGACACGTTACAGTTAATTGATCAAAAATGACAGTAAAGACTTTTACATTTTGTATAATTTAAATACATGTTCATAAAGAATTCCATAAAAATATTAAGCAGCACAGCTGTAACATTGATAGTAATAAACATTTCCTGTTCAGAATTATTACTGAAGGATCATTGTGACCGTGAAGACTGGAGTAATAATGCTGAAAATTCAGCTTTGCATTACAGGAATAAATGACATTTTAAAATACAATAAAACAGAAAACGTATTAATATTTCACAATATTAGTGTTGTTACTGTATTTTTAATCAACTAAATACAGCCATGATGAGCATAAGATACTTCTTTGAAAAACATAAAAAAAATATTATAACCTACCAAACTTTTAAATGGTAGTGCATATTATTATAATTTTTTTTAAATATTATATTGTATTTTATGGTATATTCTATTCTGGGTATATTAACATTGGGTATATAATGAATATAGCCAGTGTTGCTCTTAGCTTCTTAGCTGGACAGTTATGAAGAACAGCCTTTTGGACCACATTGCCACATTGCTCAATTCAGCTACCAATAGAAATGATTAAAATATTTGGGTCTTAATGGGTTTGAATGCTGACTGAACACTTGGCAGAAACTGATCAATTTTCTTGAGTAGCTATTAGAGTTATTTGCTTCTAAAGTTGAGAGGATTCAGCAGGATTAATGCCACAAATCACCCCTTAGTTATCAATACAGCCTGGTATAAGTATAGAGATGTTTAAATATTTTATATTTTGTATATTTGTACATTTTCTGTATTAAATTATATTTTTATGTTTTATTATTATTTTTAATATTTATTTCAGTTTTATATTCCTTTGTGATGTATAATATATTATTTTACCTGGGTAAGATCCCTCAAAGGCTAAATTATTAATATATTAAATGGGTCATGGATCTTGGGAATTATAATGATAATGGCAGATATGTTAATGACTTCAGCTCATTTGGCCTCAGGTATTAAAAGTTATTTCCCACCAGATGGCAGCGTTGTTTAACTGTTTTCAATTGAATGGCAGCCAACCACCTTGCCTTCCAAGTGTGCATGCAAGCAGGGCAAGCTTTTAAATCTAACAATTACTATTCAGATCATCTGTGGTGTTTTTTTCCTTCTTCTTTTTTTCAGTGTACAGACTCACACATGAGCTGTCGTACGCAGAGATGAGGCAAGGTTCCAAAGAGTGGATGACTGTTCTCGGGGGCGTCTTCATCTTCCTTGGCTTCACAGGGCTGCTGGTGTGGTGGCAGCGTGTCTATGGTGAGTGTATATATGAAGATATTTATACGTATACACCCTCTAAATGATGCATAATGGTTTTTGATTACCAGATTATCATGGCAGGAAAGCCTTAAATGCTTACATTTCAGGCATTTCATCATTCCCGATACGCTCTGTTGCTTTGATGTGAGATTCAGCTGGATTTAATTGTGTTGATGATTTATTTATTCATCCAATCTGAAATCAGAACAGTAGTCAAATCCAAAATCAACAGATTGGCTTCTGCTAAATTAAAGGGATAGTCCATGCAAAAACATTTGCTCACCCTTATTCCAAACCTGTATATATTTCTTTCTTCTGTGGAACACAAAAGAAGATAGTTTGAAGAATGTTGGGAAACATATTCAGGTTCCATTGACTTCCATAGTATTTTTTGTCCATATACTATGAACGTCAATGGGATTTAAAGCCATTTGGTTGCCAGTATTCTTCACAATATCTTCTTTTGTGCCCCAAACTTCTGTAGTATTTTTTTTTTGTCCGTACTTTGGATGTCAATGAGATCTGAAGCTGTTTGGTTGTCAATATATCCTTTAAAAAAATTCTTTAGTGTCCCACTGACTTCCATGGAATTTGGAAGTCAGTTCTACGGAAGAGGATTAGGTTCAAGCAATAATAATAAAAATGAAAAAATCATTATAATGCGAGATTAAACTCATTAAATTTCAAGAAGAATGTCAAAATAAAATGTTGAGAATAAACTCATTACATTTCGAGAATAAAGTCGTGTTTCGAGAAAAAGTCGTTACATTTCGAGAAAAAAAAGTCTAAATAAAATGCTGAGATTAAAAAAGTCGTTACATTTCAAGAAACAAGTTGAAATAAAATGTTGAGAATAAACTCATTTGTTGAGAATAAACTCATTACATTTCGAGAATAAAGTCGTGTTTCGAGAAAAAGTCGTTACATTTCGAGAAAAAAAAGTCTAAATAAAATGCTGAGATTAAAAAAGTCGTTAAATTTCAAGAAACAAGTTGAAATAAAATGTTGAGAATAAACTCATTAAATTAAGAGAAAAAAGTCATTAAATTTAGAGAAAAATGTCGTTACATTTCAAGAAAAAAGTTGAATGTTGAGAATAAACTATAAAAAATAAATTAATAAAAAAGACGGATTAAAACCCTAGCCAATTGCATCATATGAAGTCATAATATAAAATGAACATGACACGAGTGTGTTTATTCTCAGTTTATTTTGACATTTTTCTTGACATTTAACAAGTTTTTTCTCAAAACACGACTTTGTTCTTGAAATTTAATGAGTTTATTCTCAACATTTTATTTAGCCATTTTTCTTGAAATTGAATGAGTTTAATCTCGCATTATAATGACTATAATCTCGAGATGGTTTTATTTGTTTTATTATTGCTTGGCCCTAATCCTCTTCCGTACAATTGGACTCAAAACTGTTTGGTTGCCAATAATCTTCAAAATATTTTCTTTTGTGTCCCATTGACTTCCATAGTAGTTTTTGTCCATACTATGAAAATCAATGGGACCCGAAACTGTTTGGTTGCCAATATCATCTTTTCTGTTCCATGGAAGAAAGTCATACAGGCATGAAACAACATTATAGGGAGTAAATTTACATTTTGGGTGGGCTATCACTTTAAGGCCTGAAACCTTGCTTAGAGGTCATTTTCACTTGGATTTTGTTCTTTGTGCCTTTTATTTTTTTTTATCTTTTTCCTCTAATGTGACCATCAGTTCTCAGAGCACAGATTGCTCTGATTTCATGTCAGATGGAAGAATCAGCATGGCCTTTTTACCTGCAGCACATACTCCCGCTGAAATAATTGGACTGGGTTGTGTGTGCAGTCAACGGTTTAAAGAAGCGGAAAAGAGGGTAAAGATTTACTTGTTTGAGCCGCGGCTTCAGTTCTGGAATCCCTTTAGACCCAGCTGAACTTCTTTACAAATGATAAGAAGATTTCCAAGGTTGTGTGTGTGCCTAAGATGGATGGAAAGCAGTTGACATGTTTAAAACCGAAAGAGTGTGCATTGTGTGTTTGCGTTTGTGTGTGTGTGTGTGTGTGTTTGTATAAGTGTGTGAGCGGGATCTTGTCGGAAGTAGATGAGTCTTCTCCATCTCTGTCTCAGAGGCCCCAGTTCTTTGAGGAAGGAAGTCAATGCTACATCACCTCAGGAGAGATACAGTAGAGGAAAATAACGCAAGGAGGGAGGAAGACAGAGAAACTGTGAGAACAAAAGTTTGGTGAGGATCCTTGGGGGGGGTGAAGAGGGGTGTAGCCGCATCAAAGGTACAGAGAAAAGTATAGAAGTCCAAAAGTCAGTTGTCAGTTGAGCGCTGGGTATTTCCCACAATGTCTGGCTCATGTTGTGACTTGAAAAACTCCACTCTGGGCCGCTGTTCTTCAAACTCATTAGGGCTGGGTATTAAGACTCGTCTGAGGTTGACTTTAGCAATTGTTGGGAATAAAGAGGAGATGAAAGGGGTGATTTTTTGGAAAGCCACCTGGGATACAGTCACACTTCAGGTTCTTATTCTGGGGTTTGCAGGAATCTCTGCCCTACAACTCCCTGAAAACTGAACCAAATTTCCTGTACATACCTCAGGGCAGGTGTACTGACTCCACCTGGCAAAATAAAATCATAATATTTTTGATGTGTTTCTGTGAAAGAAATACCGTCTGCCTTGAGGGGTTTTAGATGGGGAGATGCCCTTGAAAAAAAATGACAATATAAACCAAATACCAGATATACAGTCTGAGTCCAGGTTGAGAATCTGGGATTCAAAATTTAAACCTGGAAATAAAGAGAATAAAGAGAGTTGTGAAAAATGTACAACAGAGAAGTATTACGAAGTAAAAATCAATGAGTGCTGCTTTCATTATTTAATGCAATAATGTATTTATTTATAAATAGTTTATTTATTGTGAAATATTTTTATAATTTTTCATTTCTATTTAATATATTTTAAAGTGTAATTTATTCCTGCGAGGGCGAAGCTGAATTTTCAGCATCATTATGCCAGTCTTCAGTGTCACATGATTCTTCAGATCATCATTCTAATATGCTGACTTGCTGCTTAAATTATTATTAATGTTGAAAACAGTTGTGCTATTTAATATAGTGATACACTACTGTTCAAAAGTTTGGGGTAATGATATATATATATTAAATTAAATTAATACTTTTATACATCAAGAACATTAAATTGATCAAAATTTAAAGACATTTATATTACAAAAGATTTGTATTTCAAATAAATGCTACTCTTTTGAACTTCTATTCATCAAAGAATCCTGAAAAAAAATCTATCATGGTTTCTACAAAAATAGTGAGCAGCAAAAACTGTTTACACAATTAATAATAAAAAACAAATTATTAATAATTGGTCATCAATTGAGCAACAAATTAGTATATTACACTAATTTCTGAAGGATCGTGAAACGAGTAATGGCTGGTGAAAATTCAGGAAAAAATTAATTTAAATCTTTTTCAATTCAAATTTATGCTGTTATGCTGATGATATAAAACGATTTAATAAAAAATGATACTAGAAGAAGCGAGTGGATTTTGGAAGGGAGGTGCGAAAAGGCATGGAAAGCCAAGACACCAGCAGAAATCTATCAGTAAAGCAATCCTGCCCCTAGTCAGTGGAAATTAACATTAGCTGGTTCAGTCTCAACTGATGGCCCATAAAAAGGTGTCTTATTACCAACGTGTCACACAAGAAACATTTCATGATGGATAAAAGCAAAGAGCTCTCTCAAGACCTTCAGAACCTAATTGTTGCAAAACATACTGATGGCATTGGTTACAGAAGGATTTCTATACTTCTGAATGTTCCAGGGAGCACTGTTGGGGCCATAATCCGGATGTGGAAAGAACATTATTTCACCATAAACCGGCCACGACCAAGTGCTCCTCACAAGATTTCTGACAGAGGAGTGAAAAGAATTATCAGAAGAATTGTCTAAGAGCCAAGCACCACTTGTGGAGAGCTTCAGAAAGATCTGGAATTAGCAGGTATAATTGTTACAAAGAAAACAATAAGTAATGCACTCAACCGCCGTGGCCTGTATGCACGCTCACCATGCAAGACTCCATTGCTGAAGAAAAAGCATGTTGAAGCTCATTTAAAGTTTGCTGCACAACATTTAGACAAGCCTGTGAAATACTGGGAGAATATTGTCTGGTCAGATAAGACCAAAATTAAACTCTTTGGATGCCATAATACACACCATGCTTGAAGGTCAACTGGCACTAAACATCACCCCAAAAACATCATGGTGTGGCACTGGCAAAATTCATATAATTGAAGGAAGGATACATGGAAAAATGTGCCGAGACATTCTTGATAAAAATCTGCTGCCATCTACCAGGATGATGAAGATGAAACAAGGGTGGACATTTCAGCGAGGCAATAATCCCAAACACAGCCAAGGAAACTCTCGATTGGTTTCAGAGAAAGAAAGTAAAGCTGCTAGAATGGCCCAGCCAATCACCTGACTTGAATCCAACAGAAAATCTACGGAAAGAACTACAGATCAGAGTTCATAGAAGAGGCCCACAGAACCTTTAATATTTGAAGACTGTCTGTGTGGAAGAATGGGCCAAAATCCCACCTGAGCAATGCATGCGACTAGTTTCTCCATCCAGGAGGCGTCTTGAAGCTGTCATTAACAACAAAGGCTTTTGTACGAAGTATTACATTTCAGTAAGCGTGTTCAATAATTTTTCCCTGGGCCATTCATTCCATTTTATTACACAGAACTTAATTTCTGAATGTATTTGTTTTCTTTGTATGTATGGATTACTTGGGTTGATACCAACATCTGGTGAAGATTTCATGTCAACAGCACCTTTAGAAATATATTTACTGAGAAAACTATGCTGATGTGTTCAATACTTATTTTACCCGCTGTGTATATATATATATATACTTAATATTTATACTTATATAATTAATTCTTTTTTCGTCAAGGACACATTAAATGAATCAAAAGTGACAGTAAAGGCAATTATAATATTTCAAAAGAAAAAAAATCTTTTGAACGTTG